AGTATATATGATTGATGACTATATACTACGAATAGGTTTTACGATATGATGTTTGAGCTACTGAACTTCGATTAAGATATATATATATATATATTAGAAAATATTATGTTAATGTCCTTATGTACTTACTTAGTCGTTATTCGAATGTTACTGCCTATGGGCAAATGATATTTATATATGGCTACAGCCAGGTGTGGGTTGGATATATATATATATATATGATTGGCTTTGGCCAGGCATATGTAGGGCCTATGGTTGGAAGATATTTATATTGGCTACGATCGGGCGTTTGTAGATGGCTTCGGCTATGAAATATTTATTTTGTCTACGGCTGGGCGTTTGTAAATGGCTTCAACCGGGAGATATTTATATTGGCTTTGACTGGGCATGTGTAGGGCCTACAGGCATTTGTAAATGGTTCTACCTACGGGGAATGGTCCTGCCTAAGGGTGTATGTTCTGCCTACGGGGGTATGTTCTATTTACGGGCTAATGATCTACCTACGAGCGCATGATGTAGAACCTTCGTATGAATGAAGAAGTGTTCTATATGCCTCTGGGAAAATGAAATATTTTATATATGTATATGCCTTATATATTTACCACTACTAAGCCCACTATATATATATATATAATACATGTTTTACGAAGTTTTATGGCATGTTAGGGTTTTCAGAAAACCTATTACTTATTATGCTATACGAGTTTTCTAAACCTAGGGGGTTAGTATGTTAAAGATTAACTATTTTTGTACTACTTATACATATATATATCAACTTGGTCCACTCATGTTTTGTTTTGCGCCCCTCATGACTTAGAATCGAGGCGTACAATCCCAGCGTCAAGGCACTCCCACATCGGCATCTTCAAGTCCTCTCGGTGTAGGACCCATCTCTTCTTCATTCAATTTTATATTATTCATTTTTAGTGTTCTAGATTAGTTGTATGCTTTGAACACGTTCCTTAAATGCATATTTATTATATTTAAATTCTTATTATTTGTTCTCATTCATGTTAGTATGGCTTCGTCACCTCAGGGTGACGACCAGCACGTGCCTACCTTGGTGTTTAGGAGAATATCAAGGTCAGGTGTATCATCTGCTGAATCACTATTCATCGTCAGAAAAAAGTGCAAACTTTTTTTGTTGTGTTTGTTTTAAGTCATGTCTATGATTATGGGGGAGTTTGATTTTATCAAGAGCGTTACTTCTGGAGGAGCTCTTTTATATTGGATGAATCCTTTTTGGGGGAGTTGGTTCTTTTTCATGCGCTTACTTGTTGCTTGTCCAATTACTACTTCATTTTGCTTGGGCATACTTATATGATTTAATGCTAATTATGATCCGCTGTGCTTATGTTGCTCCTACCCTATGTTGTTTGCTGCCTATTTGGACATTGCATATGTTATTTTGCCCTTGTCTTTATCTTACCATGACAAAATGGGGAGTAAATTTTAGTGTTTCTTACCTTTGCAAGCCTTTTACCCATGATAAATTTCACTTCTTCTTGACAAGAGTTGTTCTTTTGCAGGAGTTGTTACTTGGTCTTCTTCTGTTGGTTCATGTTCTCTTGAGTATAGGTGTTGAGTGAAATTAGTTATAAGCTTGGAGTATATTGTCAAGGAAAGTTAAAAGGGGAGATTGGGAAGTCAGGACTTTTAGGTTTGGCTTTCCTTGTCAAATATTGTAATTTAACCTCACATATGCTCAATATAGTTTAGGCTATACTCTGTTTATGGGCTATTGTTGCTGGATTAAATGTTCAAGATGTGGCACTTTTCATCATGAATGTGCATTTCATATCTATATTCCTGTTGCATTCTATCTAGTTTGATTGTCTAGTCAGTTTTGCGTATTGACTTCCAGCTGTCTAGGCACACAAATTAAGACAACCCACATGGCCTGACTGACACCTTTCTACTGGTGGTCAGTTTCTAGCCATTGATCTGCCTAGATCTCTTTTGCAACCGACAAGTGTCCTAGGCACAAGTTGGCTGATGGAAGTCAAATTTCCTTGGGTATATTTGTTCCTTAGGATTTATGTTTTATTGTTATGGGTTTAAAATTTATTTTTGAGTGAATGAGTTGCTTTGAGAGCTTTGAGCTTGACTCTTCTACATTATGAAACCTTAACTGTGAAACCTTCTTCATGCATTAAACACCAATCATTGGGAAGCATGTTTGCGTTGTTTTCATGGTCTTTCATTAATTTTCAAATCCTTATATAGACCTATTTTTAGGATTCACTTCATTTTGTTCCTTCAAATGTTTAACTGGAGAAACTGACTGGTCATTGAATCCAGATTTTACATAACCATCATTGTCATATCATTTGTATTGATTGTGTTGGCTCTCAGTGCCACAAGGTGATGAGCTCAGGAAGAGCTGCCACTTTGTGAAGACCATACAAGTTCATCTCGTGTAAGGCAATGTTGCACAAAGGTAAAGTTGCTCCATAGATAGGGTTCTAGGAATTGAGCTTTGTGTGGATTTTTGGATGAACCTTTGTCTATACTAGTGGATTGGACTCAATGATGAGTTTTAACCCAAATGTGAGTTTTTCCGGCCAAAAATTCCTTGTGTTGATTATTGTCATTCTTGCTCACATATCTTGTTAATTTGTATGTTACACATTGACTCTAGGGTTTGCAAATAGATATGTGTTGTCAACTAAGTTTAATAAAGTTTAAAAATACACTAAACTAAACCCTTGTTAACTAGAGTTAAGTTAGTAAATTAGGTATAGTTGTTTATTCTTGGTTTTGGTAAATTAACAAATCTGATCTTAGTTCACCGGTGACGCTGACTAGTTAGTCAAGCATATATCGAATTTTAAATTGCAGGATATTCCGCCTTGTACCAATATACATCTTCAAGGATTCCACAAACTATGAGTGATACCTAGCAGCATGTCATGGCTACCCAAGCTAATCAGAAGATGTTGGAGAACTTATTCAATTTGGGATTACAAATGCAATACTATCTTTTTCTAATTACTATTAATCACATTGTTTGGTTTGATAGTTTATTCATGTCTGTTATTCAACAAGATTCTCTTAATTATATGATTACCTTGAATATGATTTGGAACAGCTTCTTAAATCTCATTCTTACTCTGACTAGAGATTCTTTCATGTCATAAAGTATTCTCCCTCAACGATTTCAAGGTTAGAGATATCTTGTTGCACATTCACATGCCCCCATGATTAAGTAGCTTAACCCCAACTATGTCGTGGACATCCTCAAATGAAATGCCTTTAACATAGTCAAAGGCTAAGGACCAAACCACAAGACAACTATGATATCTCAGGTCAAATGACTACTTTGCATTGTCTCAACTATGAGTTCTCATGTGAAATGAGTATGAGAACTCTTGTTCATTGCGTTTAGTGTACTCACTCTCTAGTGAGTACTTACATATTTATCTTGGTGTCATTCACAGCAATGACTTGGGACGAGTCACTTTCCTGGAGAGAAGGCATAACATGTACTGATCTAATGATTGTCAATGTCGAATTGGCAATCCTATGACCAGGAATAGGGGTGGTTCGGTATGAGATACCGAACCAAAACCTTAGTCCCAATTCCCAAACTGAAATTTTCGATATTCCTAATTTCAAGACAGATCACAAACCAAAATTTCGGGAATCCTGATATAGTTTCGGTATTTCGGGACAATCAGGAATCCTGAAATACTTTTGGGCTTTTGGTGATTCTATATTCCCAATTCCCATAGCTGTTATATTTTCACTGAAATAATCAAGTACATATTTCAAACATTATTGTGCTTCTTGTTTTCCTTCGTTTCGTGATTGTTCTTCCATTACTAGTTTCAACTTCATACCCCCGATGAGTTACCTGGCATGAAGTTGAGGAGGTAGAAAGAATAATGCATGAATTGATCAAACGATATCAATAGGCAACATTAAACTCTTAAACAACCACCAGTGCAATCGCGGATAAGTTTTATATGATATCTTCTTTTTTAGTACTGAGATGCATTTATAAGTTTATAACCTATAGAACATAGTTGTTTTACCATTTAAGAATACACTAGAAGGCAAACCTATTACAGAAGTTATATACCTTTTTGTGATTATGTGGAATACTCATTACACTTCCGGTGTTTATGTTCTCTACTTTCTTCAACAACTTTGACACTGGTGTTTGTGTTACTTCTAGTAAAGGTGACTCCTATCAATGAAATAGAATGACACGTAACACATATTGGGAAGACAATCCCGATTCTCATACCGAAATTTCCGTATTTTTTCGGGATAGCATACCGAAAATTTTGGGAAAATCGGTTTGGGACATTTTCGGTTTAGGATTGGTATTTTTTCGGTTTGGTTCGGGATTTTTGGGAATTTTTTCCACCCTTAACCAGGAATGTTTAGGATATGTGTATGAAAGAGAATGGTCTTATGAATCTAACTTCTTAAGAACATATTCTTCTAATTACATATTCCATAGACTTATCGTTTAAAGCATATAGCATTTAATGAAAGGGCTTTATATAATAATTTTTGCCCTTATATTAAACTAGTTTATTTTAACATGGAAAGTGTCTGCAAGTGGCATTTTACCATAATGGTCGAAAGATGTTGAGTTTTTGCATAATGACATGAGTTCAACCTGGTCGGTGGCTAAATTACAAAATCTACCATATTGACAAAAAAAAAATGTAAAATGTCTGTAAAATATCATTTATGATTGGCTTGAGGGCATATATACAAGAACATTAGCAATTTAAAAAAAAATTTAAGTACTTATTTTATAAAAAAGACTAATTTTAAAAAGGGAATTGTTATTAGCATTCCAAAAATCTCATTCTACACTCCAAACTTTCTATATTAGGAAAGAAAAATACACTTTTGAGAATTATATAATGAGATTTTTGAAATGCCAATAACATTTCTCTTTAAAAATAAGTATTAGTACTCATAATTAAAATAATAGTAAAAATAAATGTTCAATGACTAAACTAGTAATTCTTAGTCACAGCACACAGACCCCTGTGCACCAGCAGCAAACCGTTCCCAGCCATCAACCACACCAGCCGCAGCCTCGTACACCGCACAAGCTACCACCTTTCTCACCCACTACACCGGTTGCTCCTCGTCGTCGATACTGAAGAGCCACCGATTCTCAGGTATCTGAGATAACTATTTTCTATTTTAATTTATATATAATCGTTTTTATCGGATTTGATTGTGTTCAGTATTTTCCTCATGAGTGTTGTCGAGCAATTATGTTTTTGTTCATCTTAATTAGACCTTGGTTTCAATTTTTTGAGAATCAGAATGGTAAAACCTGGCAGCTCAATGGGAATGCCAAGCAAAATAAAGTTAGAAGAACCCGAATCTTCGTCTTCTTCCGAAGATGTAAGTGATCGAAGGAAACTTAATTTGTTATTGTGGTTAGTTTAGTTTGAAGAACAATCGATTTTTTCAATTCAATTTGCGTATTTTTAATTTGTTATAGGTGGAGGAAATGGAGCAGGCGCTTGCAGATGTGACATTTGGGGAACTGCAGAAGGCGCGCTCGAACGGGTCACATGTAGTGCACCTTAAGCCTAAAGAAGAGAAGAAGGGTGGTCGGGCGAACAAGAACCGGTAGTCTGAGCATACATTGGATTATTTTGT